ACACACACACACACACACACAAGCATGCACACATAGAAAGTAGGAGGTATATATGGTCCAAATCATCAAGATAATTGATTCACCCATTGTGATAGAGAGCACCCATCATCCTACAAAGAAAATTTGTTGTCCTATCTGTAATGAATGAAGTGGTGTTCTTAATATATTCTTACACTTTCTTTTTTTTACATGACTATTTTAGGTGTATCAATACATGCATGAAACGATTACTGTTAATGGCTGCCCTGAATTCCGTGCGAGGGCCACGGCAAAGGTAAGACTTGAGCAACTTTAAAAGTATACTCGACCCCAGTGACGTAGTAATTGATTGTGCGCGTGTGTGTTTCAGGTATTCTCGTGTGTACACTGTAAGAGAATTTAGACCTCAGTGGCAGCCCAGAGTCTAGAACCAGTACTACTTACCAGGTAAAAAAATCCTAATGGAAAAATTGACCTTTTCTGCTGCTTCTGTAGCTTAAGGAAGGAGAATGATTTCATTAAACTCACTAAATGTCCATTTGGCACAAGCAAATCTGCTGCTTCACTGTATCAAGTTCTACATGGTTTCTGGTACATCCCGCGGATGAAAAAAAAACAAAAAACCTGTGTCGGATGTAGAGCATGAAAGCTCATTTGCACAGGCTGAAAGCCCTGATGTAACTTAGACACGAAAGGCTTCACCTGACACCCCCTGATCCAGCACTCTTCTTTGTATTCAGCTGGGCAGTGGGTAATTTGCTGAACGTGGCATTGACCATACAGGAAGGCCTGGCACCTTGATGGCAGGGGACCGCTTTTGTTCCTTAAAGGATCAAACCCAGAGATTACAGAGGTCCCATTGAAAAGGATACAGAAAGAGGATCATGACATGTTCTGGAAGGTGGATCACTGGGAAACAATGGGGGTAATCTGAAGTTGCTCCAGCAGCAATGCAGCTTTTTTTTTTTTTTTTAACAAATACAGAGATCTTTTAACAGAATACAACTTTCTTCACGAAGAGCTTGTAACTTCCTAATAATACCAACAAGTGAGAACCACTGAGAATATTGAGAATTTTTCATCCGATCTCTTTGTGTTACATCACCTGTTCTTTGATTTCTCTCCTGATATTTTCAGTTTTCATTCTGTAACTAAATATCGTGGATTATTTTTTTAAGTTTCTCTCTTTTTTTTTCCTCCCTCACCCCGACAAATAGAGGGTATGATTACCATTACATCATGCTTTGCTTGTTCTGAAGTGGAACACACACAGAAAAATGATCCCTCCATGGTTTAATTAAGGGGAAAGTGAATTATGTCGTGTTTTACCATTCTCATTTCTTATTCAATGTAGAACAGCAGGATAGCAGCATAATGTTGCAATAGCACACGATATTTTCTGGTTGTTTCTGGGCTGTCTGAATTGCATCCATGTCAGCCATTAAAACCTCTGCATGACAGCAGGGTTTGCATGAGCAAATGCATGTAGCTAAAAACCAAGCCATTATTTCCATGTCATTCACTATCTTTCATTAAATGCAGGCCGTAGCATAATGCTAAATTGATGTGATAATGCGGTGTGTGGAAAAAGAATGTACAGTAGTTGGAAATCAATGTTTTCACAGTGTTGAGAGTAAATCACTTTATGCTAGGCAGCTAATCAACTGTGGTTAAGGCAAGCTAATGGAAGTGGAATACAAGGAGCAGGTAGAGAATCTTTTCCTGATTGAAATGACTATTTTATTTCTATTGGGTGGGAACTAATGGTAAGTTGATTTCTTGAACATAAAGAAACTAATATGTTAATTTTAAAATAGAACTATGACCATATTAAATAACATTTTGTATACCTAGGTATAAAGCCCCAAGCTGTTTAGTTTGCCTGTGCCATTCATTATACTAGCTGAAATGTTAGTGTAGAATTAAAAGAGATATAATCAATGACCTATTAAGACATCATTCTTAGTAATAGGGAATAATGGTAGAACAAAAATATATTTTGATTTAGTACTCAATTTTAATTTTAATTTTCTTTTAGACATTCTGAATTTGAAAAATAAAAACCTTTATATTTACTAAACCAGTGGTTCAGCAATAGCAAGGTGACATGTATTTTCATGAACATACACATACAAAGAGCTCATCAGTTTACTGAGCAGTATTTATGAACATGTGTGTGCTGGTAACAACATAGACTGTGTGCCATAGCAAAAGCACGGTAAAGGCTGCCCATGAAATGCTTGTGGTCAATATGCATTCAACACTTACATGGGCGGTATGTATATTAAATGTATTTGGAGTCCTCAATCAGGATTTGCATGTCGCTGACAGGAGTCTGAAAGATTTTACACTGGTTTTTGTTTTCGGTTTTGCTTTTCTTAGTAGATAAGCCTTACAAAGATGGATATAACTAGCTGAGAGTTTACCAAAGAAAAGAGTCCTATACAGCATCTAAAAAGAAGACATTCTGTGTTCTTCCTTCTACAGGAGAATGCTAGAGCGATGTCTAAGAAGTTGTTCCCTGAAGATCATGTACTTAGCCATATTTCCCTTGTTTTATTACCAAAAGGCCATCTTTTCTTTCAGGCAACAGTTGCAGCTTTTGCAGCCAGCGAAGGTCACTCCCACCCTCGGGTAGTCGAACTGCCAAAGACCGATGAAGGCCTGGGTTTTAACGTGATGGGAGGAAAGGAACAAAATTCCCCAATTTATATCTCCCGCATCATCCCAGGAGGGGTAGCTGAAAGACACGGAGGCCTCAAAAGAGGAGACCAGCTGCTGTCAGTGAATGGAGTGGTATGTTGATAAAAACAGAGATTTTTTTCCCTCTAAGTACATTTGCCCTCCTGCTCCCATTACTGAAGCCAGTCTTGAAATCCTAGTACAGACAATAATTTTATACCTGCATCCAACCAGTTTCCTGGGGTTGGATGTGTACAAACCTATAAAGGCAGTAATTTTTATATTTTTATGTCTCATTTCATCTTGCACATGTACGGTAAATATCAACAGATGGAAAATCATTCCAAGAAGTTATTGCCAAGAATTTCCCCCTCAGAATACTGCTATTAAACTAGTCTTCAGAAGAATATAAAGTCAATGCATTTTCTTTCTTTTTTTAAAAAAAAAAGATTTATTTATTTATTATGTATACAGCATGTATGACCAGAAGAGGGCACCAGACCTCATTACAGGTGGTTGTGAGCCACCATGTGGTTGCTAGGAATTGCACTCAGGACCTCTGGAAGAGCAGTCAGTACTCTTAACCTCTAAGCCATTAAGCAGTTGGGTTTGAGGTTTTGTTTTGTTTTAGTTTGAGTGTTTGTTCATTTGTTTCGATGGCATTGTACCACCAAACCACAACCCCACCCCAAGAAACAGCTTCCTGTGAAACAAATAAGTATTTCTCCTTATCTCTTCCACTTTGTATCAAACATAACCAATCTAAGATCACAAATTACAGAAATATAAACAGGAATTTACCAAAATATACTTACCCCTTGACCTAAAAACATTTACTATAAGAACTTAAGATTTAATACATAAACTAGATTTTAATTCTTTGTGGCTACATTGATTTACGCTCAAAAACCAATATCTAACACATTGTATTTGAAATGGGATATTCTATTGGTAACTATGGTAAAAAATTTTTGTTTATATCTTTAATCTTGTTTGCATTTGTTTATATTTAGGAAAATAAAAGCTTATTTCATACACCAGAAATAGTTATTTTATATTAGCAAAAGCTATTCACTGAACTCTGCTGTTATCTAGTGAACATCAAAACTAGTGGTCCATGAATATTTTATATCATCATTCCAACCCCCAAATTACCATTCCCTCTACTTTCTCTAGGCGATAGTGCTTTGAGATAAGTGTTTTATTGACCTTTCAATAGCTATCACTTTTCAAAGCTTGTATCCAATGATAATTGTAGACTCCAGCTTTCTGATAGAGGATCCCAAGCAGGGTCAAACATTATTATCCACAGTAAGCTATGCTTTGGGTTATTAATTTATCATTTCTCTGAGTATACTTTGCAGACCTAAAGAATGTATAGGTTTAAAAATAGGGAAAAGGGCAGCAAAAAAAAAATCACTCAAATGTGTGCATAGTCATTGTATGTGTAGAAAGCAATCGTAACCGTATAATGACATCAATCATCAACTTAATAGGTAAATTAACTTTGAACTCTCTATCAAGGAAGCAAACAGCCTGTGCTTAGCCCACGCATTTGTAAGGAGCCGGGCTCCAAGCCTTTCACAATCTGGTGTCTATTCCTGCCGTGACCTTGTGATGAACCCGGGAAGCAGCAGGGAGTATTGCCACAATGAAATCAAACAGACCTAGTTTTACCATATTGTTACAGACTAATTGTGTCTGATCCCCAGCTTTGCTATCTAAAAGGCAAGCAGGCAGAGGAGTTGCTAATTATAAGAGCACTAGTGGAAATTAGTGAGGGCATGCGTCTACCTGAAATCATCCTGTGATCCTTTGGTCACAGGCACCTTCGAGAAGGAATGGTGACCACCAAAGAAGGTTGAAATGACTGAGATTTTTAAAGCTCTGGGAATATTGCTTTTATTAATGTGGTGAGAAGTAAACCTTAAGGAAAATTCTGTTGGACGTAAAGCCATATGCCAATTAGCAAATAGTTATCAATAGTAAAGCTGCCATCGCCTCTCTTCGGGGAAGCTGGTGAGGTCGTACCTCTCTGTCCATTCGGGTGTTCCAGCCATAAACTTGGAAGAAAGATCAACTTGAGTCAGATAGGAGTATTGCAGGGTCAAATTTTTTAGCCTTATATTCAGCCTCGGAGAACCATAAATTCTATTAAGCATACAGTTTAACTTTTATCCTATGTTCACATTCTTATTAACTCCATGTACAGGATTCTTACACCCCATTTATGTTTCCAACAACCGTAGAGTTTACATTTACTTAAAAGCTACAATTTATTAGTAGTTTCCATTTAGTAACCATATCATGTTTGTGAACAAGGCACTAATTTCAACAAAGACAATTTCCGACAAAGTTTCTTCAAGAGAACAAAACGTTTGTTGACTGCAGTAAGTCTAACAAATGCTCACCCTTCCTTGTCTTGGCTAGAGTGTTGCTTCAGACATAGTGCTAGATTACTACCCTTACAGTAGCCTGTTTTATCAAGCTCCAAGAGTTGCAACTTAAAATATTGCACCTCCATATAACACATGGTAACAATTACCTATTTTAACATGTTTAAGAGTAAATCATATATACACATATCTATGGAACAACAATTAGTGAAATCAAAAAGGGCCATGAATTGAAAGAGAGCGAGGGGAGGTATAGGGAATATTTGGGAGAGAGGAAATGAAAGGAGGAAATGATTAACCTCAAAAAAAGAAAGATGTCTTGTAAGTAAATCAGAAAGAAAGCTATGTCCATTTTTTTTTCAGATACTCATCTCAAGGTATTTTTCTATAATGAGAAATTACATGGCTCACTGCCCTGCTCCTAGTCACAGAAATAGTAGCTAATGCAATTCCAGGGGCCCAGGCCTTTAGCTCTGGGTCCAAAGGTCCTTTCGGTAGAAATGATTTCACACAGGTCATGGTATTTAGGGAAAATAAAAATATTTTACAGTAAAATGGGGTTGGAGGCCCTGCAATTGAAAGACCAAAAGCAAACCAAAGACAAGGTTAACAAATAATCAAGTGATTGCTATGTATGCTTTGAAACAAGGTACCATTTGGAAGATTCTCAGAACATAGCATTCTAAGCTATAAACTTTAGAGAGAAGTGATTTGAAAGGTTGAGGCAAATCTTACTTTAGTAAGCATTCTGACAACAATTCCCTACTGATATAATTAAGTGTTAAATTATCCTATGGACCCAAGAATCTTAAATGATGTTTCTAATGGCACCATTTTTTTTTATTATTTTTATATCTTGGTTACATTTAGGAAGGGTGTGCCATGATATCTGCCAAAATTTATCATGTATTAACACAAAGATGATAACATGAAATGCTAGATAATATAGGGAGGGAGAAGGGAGATCAATAAATAGAAATAAAGAAAAGATACAGCAATTGAGCAATTGATTTTTTTTCTTCTTATAAGTCAAAACAGAAGGAAACTCATAACAGCTCAACTCTCACTGAAGGATTTTTTTTTTATCATTTCTGGCTAGAAAAAGAAATTTCCCATGGGGTTCTTATAAATGAGACATTGAATCACCTAATATAACTTCATTGAAAATACAGAGTCTTTTTATGTGTGGCTACTTCGTGTGTCAAATGTTAGCAAAAACTAATAACTGTATTAAAATTTAACATTAGTAGGAGGTCAAAATGTTGCAGTTAGAATCTATAGCTCTCTGTTGGTCTCCTTTTCACCCTCTTATGTGCAAGTGTTTTCCCAAGGACTATTTCTAAAGATTATAGCCATTGTGGCTCCAAAAGGGACAGTAAATATAATTAGTGGTGGAGCCCAGATATGAGAAAATCTCAATAGATGGCACAATAGGCTTCACTGAAGAAGGTTCTTCATGAAGTCCTGATCTTATGCCAGAGAGTGTATATATACAGGACCAGGGAGACATCGCTAAATATCAAAGCTTGAAAAATACACCCAGGGGGGTAGTGATTGATTTTAAAAGCAATATAAAGTAAATTAGGTTGAGAAGTAAAAGATAAAAATGAAACCGTGCTAATGTGTTTGTAGGAACATTAATTCAAACATCTTTGACAGACACAAAGATCGTGGTGCAGCCCTTGAGTGTGGTGTGTGGTGGTCAGTCTGTATATTACTGGACTCTGATCAAGTGAACTCAACCATAATTTAGTATGTTCCCCTGAAGCACACATTATTAAAGGACGTAAGTCATTTGGCCAGAGAAGAGAAAGTTTAGAAAAATGATGACATCTCCAGGTGACCTCCATTGTCCCAGGTCCCAAATGACAGAACCAAGACCAATGCATGAATGTTGCAGGGAAAGAGTCCAGCTTTCATAATAAAGACCTTGTATATGTGTAAAGCTATCTAAACAGAAGGGGACTCACCCATAAAGAGATGTGCATGCCCATTGTCTGGCATTTTAATCAGAGGTTAGAAGACCATCTGCATTCAGTCTTTCAAAATACAGGTAATGTGTTCATAGCTGCATTAGGGTTCAAAGGTCCTTGCCATCTCTGTGACTCTGATTTTATAGCTTGGATGCAATTTTTGTTGATTCCACTATATACACCAGTTCCCCAACACATACCACCTTATATTCTAAAGCAGGAAGGTAGATACAACCTACTGTCTATGGATCCTGTTCTTGAAATATTGTCCTTAAATGAGAGAATTAGAAGTTTGTGACACTACACCCTATTATGTTTAATAATCTTGTAGTGACTAAGCTTGCTTACATATTATTTTCCCATTGGTTGCTCAAATCAGTCTCACAAAATGGGACAGACATTCTGCACTAAACACACATACACACACACACACACACACACACACACACACAGTAGTGACCACACACAGACCCACAATAAACACATGAAATGAATTTCAGTCTTTACTGTGGTGTTAACTGATTACCAAGTATAAAAAAAAAAATGATTGTTCAAAAATCAATCCCAGAAAAATCTGAATGAACTCTGCAGCCACATCAATGTCAATTTCCTGGGGGTCTTGTTATTTTTCAGTTTTGTAAGATGTTAATATGGAACGAAGCTGGATAAAAGGTACAAGAGAGGCCCCTGTACTATTCTTCATCCTTTTATAAAGCTATAATTAGTTCATGATATTTTTGTTTTA